AAATAAATAAATAAATAAATTGTGTATTCTCGACTAAGCGAGGCACGCCTGCGCAGGCGTGATCATGTTAAGAGTACAAAATGTGATCAGTTAAGGTACAATGGAACAATGGGATTGTTGCATAGGTTTATATATGAATGTATGTAAGTTTGCATGTAGGCGTGTTTAGCTTTGTTTCTGGGATTGGTAAATGTTTCCTGCCATTTTGCTTGAGTGTGTTTGAAGGTGTCACCAGTGCTTGCTATCTGTGGACTTGAAGCGATTGTTCGGATAAGCAATGGGTGACTTTAGTTAGTGGCGAGTCACAACCGCCACGTCACAGTGTTGTTAAACGGACATATGTGGCTTTTCATAGGGAGAACGCTTGCCAGGCGAAAACCCACCACGTCCTGGAACACTGCCGCCGAACTATTTGCTGAAAGGGGGTAAACCCGAATCACCCGGCTGGCACCACGAGGAGGTTGTTCGGCTAGCCAGCAATGGAATCCCAACCTGGCTGCAGTTCGGTACGACCTCAGATAAACCGATCATTTCCAAGAGCACTTGGAAGCCCATAAAGCAGCCGAAGATGTTCGATTCCAACAAAGTCGTCCACAATGCCACCAGTGGAGTGCTGAAGCTGATCGGAGAAACAAATTGCAAATTTACATTCAACGGAGTGGAACAGGCCGGAACTTGCCACTTGTCTAAGCGACCAAACTTGAACCTCCTTGAACTTGACTGGATGGAAAACTTACAACTCTTTCATGTCCCAATGAGTCAGCTTTGCAATAGCGTCCAAAACGACCGAGTCCATGGATCATCGTCGATAGAAGACTTGACAAGAAAGCTAAGGCAGAAGCTTGCCGCTTTGTTTGAAGGTGGTCTCGGCCGATGTACTAAGTCCACAGCAAAGTTTGTGCCTTCGCGCAGAAACCAAGCCGGCCTTCAGAGCAAAAAGACCCGTAACCTATGCAGCCATGGCAGCAGTTGATCTGGAGCTCGACCGACTGTAACGAGCCGGTGTCATCTCAACAGTGCAATACACTTCATTGGCTGTGCCGATTGTTGCTGTGAGAAGGGTAAAATGGGTGTCTACGCCGATTTTTCGGCTGGCCTGAAAGCCGCACTGGACGAACCTCAATGCTATCTTCCGATATCAGAGGATAGTTTTGCCAAGCTGAACGGTAGGAAGTGTTTCGCCAAGCTCTACTTGTCCGATGCCTACCTCCAAGTCGAGTTTGATGAAAGCTGGAGAGAACAACTGACCAACTACACTAATCGTGGCTTGTACCAGTACAACCGCCTCCCTTTTGGCGTGAAAACAGCACCAGCCATCTTCCAGCAGCTGATGGGCACCATGCTTGCGGGAGTTTCTGGAGGATATCATTATAATGAGTTTGAAGGCAGAAGAATTAATTCAGCGGCTCACTGAAGTGTTTTATACATCTAGTCATATGGTTTCCGTATCCGTGAAGACAAGTGCACCTTTTAAATCCAACTATTAAGCTTCTAGAGTTCGTTTTCTCAAAAGACGGTCGTCGCCCTGATCCAGAAAATATCCGAGCTATTCAAAAGATGCCTTTACCTGCGGACTTACAATCGCTACGTTTATTCTGTGGCCTAAGAAGTCATTACAGCGCATTTCTGCTCGAACTGCCTCGCCTGCGTGCCCCGCTGAATAGGTTACTAAGCAATGGCAAACCCTGGAACTGGGGGCCAGAATGCCAGACTGCGTTCGAGCTGGTCAAGTCATTGCTGGCTTCAGGCCTACTCTTAACTCACTTTGTACCCTCCCGGGAAATTGTGCCTGCCACAGACTCATCGAGTCTAGGGATCGGTGCCGCATTTTCCCATACTTTTCCAGATGGATCTCAGTAGATGTTGGCACACGCCGCCAGGACGCTGAGGAACGCCAAAAGAAACTACAGTCAGCTAGCGAAGGAGGCTTTGACCATAGTATTTGCTGTGAAGAAGTTCCACAAGATGCTATATAGTCTCCGCTTTAAACTCTTGAAGCATCACAAACCGCTGCTGGACATTTTGGCTCGAAGAAGGGAATTCTTGCCGATACAGGGAAGCGACTCCAACGATGGGCATTCACCTTGCTGGGCTATAGTTTTTGAAATCGGGTATAGTCAACGGATTCGTTTGGCCAGGCAGATGCGTTGTCACGCCTCATTGATTCGAAGTTGCAAGAACACGAGCACCCCAATCTTGCTTCACTATAATCGAAGATGATGTCAAATTCCTGGTGAACGAGGCAATACATGGCCTACAAGTTACGGTCGATGCTGTGCGCGCCGAAACGCTTCGATACCCAGTCCTGAAGAAAGTGTCGCACTAACAGAACTAGCTAGCTGCCTTCGTTTTAAGCTGCCAAAATGCAGCAGTTCTTGAAGGGAAGACACTCGTTCTCCATTGTAAACGATTGCGTCATGTTCTCAGGGCGAGGCTTTGCAAGCTACAGTGCTGCGGCATTTACGTGCAGGACATCCAGGGCCCAACCTAATGAAAGCGCTTGACTGCTGTTGTGTATTGGCCGTTTACGGACAGACAGCTGAAGCTGCTAGCTAGAAGTTGTGGCTACTGCGCTACCTCTCCAAGGGCACCACCGGAAACTGAATTCCACGCGTGGCCTAAACCAATTAAACTCTGGAGCCGTCTTCATGTCGACTTTGCAGACGCAATCCATTGCCAGAACCTTCTCATAGTGCTCGGCGCTTACAGCAAGTGGCCCGAAGTGTCCCTCATGAGGAGCACGAAAACCAGCGTAACAAGCTCGAGGTGGCAACAAATCTTTAGCAGGTACGGCTGCCTGAAACCTTGGCGACTGACAATGGTGCACCATTTACTTCGGCCCCATTCGCGGAATGCTGCAAACTCTGCGCCATCAAACACTTGCCGTTCCCACCATTCCACTCACAATCGAATGACCCAGCGGAGAAATTCGTGGATACATTCAAACGCGCTCTCCACAAACCAAGAAGGTAGAGAGACATAGAGGAAGTGATCGACCGATTCATCTTTCTGTACCGACCTCCACAAAATCCATAAACGCTGGGTGGACTGTCACCAACAGAGGCAATTAAGAAGAGAAAATTTCGCATGCTATTTGATACAGTATGACCGCCTTTATAGTCCACAGCCGATGAAAGGAACCTCAAGGTAGAACGTGACTTTACTCGGCAGATTAGTGCTAAGCGACGTTCGGTTAATCTGGGTCAGCCAGCACTTGTACGTGCTTATCGGGATGGACACGCAAAATGAACGCCAGGCACAATCCAGCGCAATCGCGGGAGCGTCATTTTTGACGTGCTGGTTGGAACGCAGGTATGAGTGGGAAAAGCAAACCAAATGCGCCCAACAATGTGTCAGCAACAAGCAAGGGAATTGTCCGAGCTTCCATCTGACCTGTTGACAGACAGCTTAAACTTGCTAACCGAGCCCGCAGAAGCATCCTGTCATCAGACGAATGTGAGTAGAATGCAGAGCACGGAATTTGAATCCAGCAAACTACAGTCAAGGCGATGGACTGATAGGCGTAGAACACCTTTCAGGAAGCTTCAGGTGAATCCCGGACTGGCATCATACACTGCGGCAGCCGCTTCAAGAGGAGAGGTCTCCGGGCGAAGTTAAAAACATAAGGAAAACCATTATTTTAATATTCAGTCGCTTATTTTCAACCTGCATCGATTTCGAAGATTCCGGAACCTTCCATGCGTTCATTTTACCGCCAGTACAGGGATTTCTGGCAAGGAGGCTACTAATTTCATCAGTTAACCTTCGCTTGCTAGAAGCCGAAGGTAATTGAGCCCACTATATATTTGGCCTAGGTCCGGCTTAGTGGTACAGCGTTTTGGCGGCATTTTTAGCTACGTTGGCAGCGCTTTTGTTAACAGGTTTTTCGTGGTCAATGTTGTTCGATTTGCTTTTTCTTCGGCTGGGCTAGAATTTTTGCGGAGAAATTTTTGGGTGTTTAATTCGGAATATTGAGAAAATGTCCCACTACGTTAGCTATCCTCCGCGGTCAGCCACTGAAACTGCATACACCACGGTCTGATATTTTTCGGACGAAAGGACTTCTATGGCGCCGATATAGATAGCTTGAATTCGTTTCCTGCTTCACGCGTCAGCTCGGTGCTCTTGGGTAGCAAAACTAAACCTTTCCTTTTTCATAGGTGACTCTCCTACACTTTACAGTCCTTGTTTAATAACCAAACTACCTTAGTATTCTATTTGATCAGCTTTTTCCACTTTATCCTTTCGCTTTCTGCTTTTAGCTTTTTCTCTTACTTAATTCCTGCGATAGGTCCAGCAGGAACTACTTGGGCAGTTACGTGGCATTGCTTTGTTGGACAGCGTGTGATGCGGACTTTCTTTTAGGGTTATCACTGTTCTAAACTTTTCACATTTGTGATTCAACGAAGAAGGAACACCCACGGGATAATTCTATCATTCCAGTCCCGCTTGAACTTTAACTTCAACGGTTTGTGTATGGCTAAACTGAACAACTGCTTTTGGCACCAGTGATTGTCGCTTCATTGTGACCTGCCAGGGTACAAGGAAAAAGCATTCACAGTAACGGATCATTCAGAGACAGCGAAGCGGTTTCATTTTCGTTTCCACGACCTCACTTAATATTGGCAGTATGTTGACATTGGTACAAGCTGTAATGCAGTCAAGCAATCGTACTTGGTATTCTTTGACAATAATCCACGTACGCTGCAGCGAGAGGGAGATTGACTCCTTCAGGTTACATTATTATCCGTCTGCAAATAATCCCTTAGTTTCGACCATGCGGTGACATGTTTTACACTAATATATATATATATATATTAATAGGTTACCTTTTAAGTTCCTGGACTTATTAATAAGGTACTGTTACGATATCATGTAAGTATATGTTCAATTCGTTATTTGTTATACTACGCAGTGTATAAGCCTACGGTGCTTGCGTGCAACTCACCTCATTCGGCGGTTCCTTTTCCTCTGTTGATGTGGCGCTATCCTCGGTCACCATGTCGGTTGTTTGTGGGCGTAAAAGGTATACTAGGGATGAGGTGCTGGCTTGCAAAGAACTCGCAAATTTGATCGTTCTTGTAAGTAATGCAGTTTGTATCCTTTTTAATGGTGCTGCATTAATATAGCTTTTACGTTATGACCACTAATCATGCATGTACCATGTCCAGTCCTGTTTGCATCTTGGCGCAATACCGGTTATGCCAATCGCGTATTCTTTCTTTAGCACTCTGCCTTTCTTAGTTTGATCGAACCACGTTGGACCCAGTTGCCTTGGCTGATGTCGCCAAGAATGCTAATTATAATTGTCAGGCAGCATGCGCAAACGACTAGATCAGAAATTGTAAGTCAGGAAACGACAGACTTTGTGCCTACATGGCATTTGGCAAAGCGTCATCAGCACGAACGATTGAACTACCACCAGACGAGAATCGATAGGTCAGAACGAGACCCCGCATATCATACCCTACTTCTTGTTTTCACCTTTGTGGTGTGAGTTCATTTAAGGGTTCCGAGGACTTATGTAGGCGACTGCACAACCACCCAGTAATAGTCGGATCTAGATAAAACGTGTGCCTGTATTACACCTGATGGCGAGCTGGACGGCATTGTCACAGCCGCTGATGGAGGACTGGGCGTGAGGTGACTGGATGGATGACGTGAAAATACCGACGAGAAATGGCAGCTCTGATGCTACTGAAGACGAAATGGGAAGGCGAAGTGGAGAGGAAGTAACAATCGTAACCTAGGTGTCATCGTAGTGAACAATTTTAAGCCTCCGGCACAGTGTCGCCATGCTGCCAATAAAGCGCGACAAGAGTTATTTCGTCTTAGGAGGGCGCTGAGTAACACTAAATCAGAAGTATTCTTGCCATTATATAAAGCAGTGGTTAGGCCACATCTGGAGTAGTGTTCAGGCCTGGTCACCGTACCTCCGGAGTGACATCATTTGTATAGAAAAGATTCAGAAACTTGCGACCAGGATGATCGAAGGTCAACGAGGGAAGTCTTACGAAGATCGTCTAAGTAGCTTAGGATTATTTTCCTTGGAACGGCGTAGGTTGAGAGGGGATTTGATAGAGACGTTTAAGATCATTAAGGGACTTAGTGGTATTAGTTCCACCCATCTGTTTGAGTTGGCTATGTCAGACCATCTGCGCGGGCATTGCCTTAAACTCAAACATCATAGAGCTCGTTTGGACATCAAGGAAAAGTTTTTTTACTGACCGAGTAGTTAACTTCTGGAATAAACTTCCTTCTGATTTAGTGGAGTCTGAGACCGTAGAAGCCTTCAAAAGGGGCTTAGACGATTGTTGGTCTATCCTTTTTCCAGAGGTATTGTAGTTGTACTGAAATATGTAGTGTATTTTGATGCTGGCATATGAAAGTGCAAAGATTGCTCTTGTTCTTGCTTCATTCCATTGCAGAAGCAAGAAGAGACAATCCAACGTCGAAGTGCCGGGGGCCGCTTCACTTACCGGCACAAGAACTGGACGCTCGTTAGGCGGAAGCCTCTATCGTCCGTTTGACCTGACCTGACCTAGGCTTCGCTCGACAACGTCCTATCTATTGATTTGTGACAGCGACACTCCGAGGCGCTACATTATTTCCCCTTATGTGGTGCTTTCCTCAGCGCGTACGGAAATCCTGACCCGTCTCATCTTGCTAACGCATTGGAAAACTGATGAGTGTTGTGATTGGCTCGGACGATTCCGCGAGAGGAGAGATTGGTGGTCGCTGCAACGACCGCAGTCCTGCTTCAGAGACTGGCGTTATGGGCAGTCAGGTTCTCCAAATATGTAATATGCGTCCGGTTGAGGGTTCCGAGGTCTTTTGTGTCCGGGGTTTACGTAGGTCGTACTAAACCGAGAGGGCTGAAAGGCAAAAGGGACACTTCCTAGGCGGCTGGATGACCACCTCATAAAAGTCGGAGCTGGATGGCAGGGGTGCTCGTTACACCTCGTTGCGAACTGGACGGCATTGTCACAACTGCTGATAAAGGACCGAGCTTGAGGTGACTTGATCAGGTCAGGTCAGGTAAAACCGACGATGTAGGCTTTCGCTTGTGCCGGTAAGTAAAGCGGCCCCGCCACTTCGACGTTGTATTGACTCTTGCTTCTGCAAAGGAATGAAGCAAGAACAAGTGCAATCTCTGCACTTTCATGTCAGCATCGGAATACACTATTCCAGTACAATTCCAATATCTCTGGGAAAAGGTCAGTCCAACCCTCATCTAAGCCCCTTCTGAAGGCTTCTACAGACTCACATTCCACTAAACCAGAATGTTTATTCCAGATGTTAACTACTCGGTTTGTAAAAAAATTTGCTCTGATGTCCAAACGAGCTCCGTGTTCTTTGAGCTTCAGACGATGCCCGCGCAAGTGGTCCGACGTAGGTAACTCAGATGGGTGGGGCTAATACCACTAAGTTCCTTAAGTATCTTAAACGTCTCCATCAAATCCCCTCAACCTACGCCGTTCCAAGGTAAATAATCCCAAACTACTTAGGCGATCTTCGTACGATTTCCCACGTTGACCTTCGATCACTCCGATCCCAAGATTCTGAATCTTTTCTATACACATGGCGTCACTACGGAGGTACGGTCCCCAGACCTGAACACAGTACTCCAGATGTGGCATAACCACTGCTTTATATAACTGCGGGAATACTTCTGCTTTACCGTTACTCAGCGTCCTCCTAATGCAAAATAACTCTTGTCTCGCTTTATTGGCAGCATGACGACACTGTTTTAAATTCTTAAAACTGTTCACTATGATGACACCTAGATCGCGGGCTTCGTCATAGAGATCCCGCAGACTGCACTGCAATTCCGCTACCACTATCGGTCAGTAGTTGACATTTATTGGCATTCATTGGCTCGATTAATTCATTAGTGGGATGATGTTCTTAACCAGTGTCGCTCGGTTTCCCTTACTGACTAGCTTTAAGTTATCTGCGCAGATATAGCAGCGATCCTCAAGAAGAGGAGCCAGCTCATTCATAAACATAACAACAATAGACCCAGTACCGAACCTTGGGGGACACCGCTGTAAGCAGGACCCACACTAGAACCCGCTTCTTTAAGCCTGACTCCGAATGTTCTTCCACGTGAAAATTCAGAAAGCCACAGTAATAGTTGAGGATGCAATCCAGACCATGTTGCCTTCTCAATTAAAAATCGATGATTCACTGGATCAACGGCTTTACTGAAGTCCAAATAGCGCACCTCTACCGACATCCCAATATCAAGACATTGGGTAATCCCATCTAAAAAACAATAAATCAATAAGACCAATTCTTTTTAAGAAGGCCGTGCTGTTCCGCTTTAATTAGATTGTGCTCAGTCAAGTACTAAGGATTCCTGTTTCTTATTAACTTTTCCAACCCCTTCAACATAATACTGGTCAAACAAACAGGTCTATGATTAATAGGCGCCGACTTAGAACCTTCCTTTTGGGTGGCAACTATAGTCGCTTCCTTCCGATCACGTGACAGTTTGCCTTCTAGAAGAGACTGGTTGAATCGCTCTGCGATGCGATACTGAAGGATACCAGCCAGTGGCTTAATTATGACGGGATTTACACTGTTAGCACCAGCTGATTTATATGGCTTCAAGCTAGCCATCAATGTGGAGACCTCTGGCGCAATGATAATAATTTCCCGCATTGTATAGCTACTTGAGCAGTGCGGTTGTGATGGCAACGCTAACCCACTATCCTTCCGATGCAGATTTTTTAGACATATAGCAGCGCTTCTTCTTTATGCACCTCGTCCACAGCCTGGCTGTCATCCTCCGCCTCAACGAGACGGGACCTTAACGTGGTGCGACGGTTTGCGTACCTCATTGACCCATTGAGCCATACTGGGTGGTGCCTCCGGGCCCCTTGAGAGCTACTCCTACCAGGTTGGTCAATAGTGAAAGGTCAGACAAACTCAGTCTCCTGGTCATGGAAGTTAGGGGGTTGAAATGGGCTGGCATCCATTTCTGTACAACTAAATCATTACCACCTCCCCGCTGCCTTGCGGACAGGCTTTTGAGCCGAAGGCTTTGGATGAGGACCCTAATCGTCCTGCTGTCTAGGTCTGGGTGCCCTGGCTGTATCTCAGTCCACATACAGCCATGAATTTTTCTTCAATATAAACTTCATCCTGCATCGGCCGTCGCGCAGATTATCAAGGGTTGCCTTATCTGCTGCATACAGCAGAGCGGATAAGCGAAAACATCCTACTGCTGGCGCTTCCGTTCGTTCTTTTCTGCCTGTTTCTCTTACTCCCATCCCGACCCCCATTACTAACCTTCCCTCCATAATTTCCAGCTTAATTGACAACAACCGAAGTGCCACTGGAGTAGAATCATCCGCAGCCACCTTCCCACAATACCCATCAGATGCCGATCGCCAACAGTCCTTTATAAGGCCACGCTGTCCTGTTTCCATGGCGGCGTTCAACGTTCGCACTCTATAACAGGCTGCACTCGTACGCACCTTGGACACAATGGGTATTGATGTGTGTTGTGTGTCCGAAACTAGGATCAATGACCCTAATGAGATTGTTGAAGTAACTGCTCCTGGTTTACCCTCTCGCTATTGGTTACACGCATCCGGAGACGCTTATGCAACCCTCACGAATCAGGCTTGTGTAGGTCTCATTCTAAGCAAGGCTGAGCCATTGTTGGTTGATTGGATTCCGGTGAACAGCCGTTTATGTGCAGCACGTTTGACAACATCAGCTAAGGTTGATTCACGAAGTAATACAAAACGCTGCTTGTTTGTGATTTCCGCTTATGCTCCCACCGACTGCAGTTCTAATGCTGTCAAGGACATTCTATTACGAACTGAACCCGCCGCTATGTAGTACTACTAGTTCATATATAATAGTACTTGCACGGGATATGAACGCACACGTAGGGCGCATGAGCTCTTCAGAATCTCAACTGGGTGGTAATAATGGACTTAATTCCGAACGTACTGACAACAGCGAGCATCTCCTGTAATTGTATGCGGAGCACCAGTTTCCTAGTAGCACTGCTTTTAGACACGGCTCCGAAGATCCACTTGGCGTCCTCCTGTAGCTGGCCAACGATGGACCCAAATTGACCAGATAGCCATAAGTTACAGGTGGCGTGGTTCCATCCTGGATTGCCACTTGTACTGGAATACCTGCGTCGACTCTGATCATGCTTTGGTACGCTGTCGTTTCTCCATGAACTTTACCGGAAGGCGCACAAAGCGTCTCCACTCCGGTTGACAATTGAGAAGTTGTCTCAGCCCTCGGTCAGGAAAGCCTATCAAGAAGCACTGCTTACCGAACTTTCGCTGTCTCTTTCTGAGCTTCAGTGGAATAGGATCTTGGCCATGCACGACGCAGGAACATCTGCTTGTGGCACTGTCAGTCGTCACCGCACCAGTCACTGGATATCCGAGAGGTCGGTGAACCTGTTGGAATCCAAAAGACAACTCCCGGCTGGCTCTGAGCACAATGTGAATAGACGTGCTGTTAGGCGCGAACTAAAGCGAAGCCTATGTGCTGACAAGGAACCCTGGTGGACCACGTGGGCTCAAGAAATGGAAGAGGCAAGAGCAGTAGGCAATTACCGCAAGCTCTTCCAACTGATCCGCACCACTGGTCCCCAGGAAATCAGGCGTCAGTAAAGCAATCAGAGACAGCGCGGGTGCACCGATACACAATATGAAGCGCCGTATGGCTCGTTGGGTGTAATACTTTCAAAATCAGTTCAGCTGGTTCCCTGCTCCCGGACCTCTTCCTACCCATGTAAATAAAAATAAATAAATAAATGTGTCAGCTTATACGCTGCAACGGCGCTTCGCTGCCGCGCGACCACCACCAGTCTCGCACGGGCTGAGTATATCGCGAGGACGCCCACCCCTACGGGGTTTCGAACCGGTGACCTTATGGTTGCAAAGCAAACGTGCAGACCACTAGGCCTTCCTACTCATGTGATGCAGAACGAGCAATGGACGGTTAGTTTAGGACCTTCGTCGTAGGCCGAGGTCTGGAACTCGATCACAGCCCTCAATCGTTTTCGTGCCGCTGGCCCGCATTCCCTCCCACCTGCATTATTTAAGGATTTAGGTGAGGTCCCCTGCAAAGCACTGACCTCTATTCGAACGTATCTGGAAGGAAGTGTCCCGGCTGATTGGAACGAATCGATTATAGTGACAATATACAAGGAGGGCAGTCGCACAGACTGTTCTAACCACAGGGGGTATTAGTCTAACGCCCGTTGTGACAAAATTACTATCATCTGTTCTCTTTCGTCGTCTCACTGTGGAACGGGAATCTCGGATTAGGGAAAAGCAGGCAGGTTTCCACCTGGACATGGCAGGATAGACCATATATTCACTCTGCGGCAGGTGTTAGATCATCGCTGCATGTACCTCATACCGACAATAGCTGTTTTCTACAATTTCAAGAGTGCGTTCGTTTCGGTCGCTCGATGCATTCTGTTCGAAATAATTGCGCGGAAAGGTGTTCCCCCGAAATATGTGAACATCCTATGTGCTCTATACTCGAACACCACAGGCTTCCTCAGGGTCTAAGGTGACCTTTCGGATAGCTTTATGACCACAAGTGGCGTTCGTCAGCGTTGTCCGATTTCCCCATTTTTGTTCACTCGTCGTGGATTCTATCATGGAGTTTCCCCTTACGGAATTTCACGACGTAGGCGTTGAAGTGCTGCCTGGTGAAAGGTTAGTTGATCTAGATTATGCGGATGATATCGTCTTGCTTTTCGACGATGTCGGGGCGGCACAACTAACTCTAAATAGCCTGTCTAGAGTGGTCCCATCATTTTGTACGCGCTTCGCACCTTCAAAGTGCAAAGTGTTGCTACGGGACCACTAGCCACTTGATGGCTAATGAGGAACTCGAGATGGTTAATCAATTCACTTATCTTGACAGCTGCATCAGCAACGATGGACGCATAGAAACTGGCAGTAACAAACCATTGTGCACGTGCAGATGCCCTCCCACCGTCGGAGACAATACGTGGCGCTCATGCTCTACGCCAATCGAGCGCTGAGCTTATAACCCATAGACCTGTTGTCTGCCATGGCTAGGCTTTACGGAAACGCGGCCATCGACCACTTCATAACCTCCGAAGATGATGGACTAAGATACTAGCAGGGCACCCACAACTGACAGGAGAACGACTCAGGTCCTCAGCCAAAGCCTTTGATTAAATGTACACCCGAAAGGCAGCGGGTCTAACACATGGTCATTTCACTGACTCATGCGGATTGGTGTCTTGAATCTTAGCAGGGAGAAGGGTGTAACCCAACTCCCACCCAGCGGTCGCCACGAGGAGGCGTCCAGGACATGAGCCCATGGCACAACATTAGCAACAGTAATTAGACGATCTGCTAGCATCTAGCTACCATCAGCCTCAGCGCACCATAGGCTCTGCCGCCATTTTACCTAATAAACTTGTCATGAACTGCATCATGTCAAGTTAGCAGTCGATCGACTTCTATGGACCGTTCACTCCCTCGATGTTTAGGCGATGGTTTAGCATTTCTACACGCTGTATCTTATTACCCAACGGAATCATCTGTGCCGTTACCAAATTAAAGTAAGTTTCAACAATTCATTCACTGTTCGGGCAGCTGGAGTGAATCGTGCAACTGCGACTTTCCCTGTTTTCTCTCACAACTGGGTCCAAGGTGTCGACAACACGTCGGTGCTCAGCACCGCTTCACTATTACGCGACCATCACCATTTGCGTGCGGACTGTAGGTGTCCTGTTGCGTCACTCGCACCTACGCACATTCGAACCGGTGACCTTTGGGTTATAAGGCAGACGCCCCATCCTTTCGACTACTAGTCAGATACTCGTTTCAATTGCTTTGTTCGTCAACAACATCCAACGCTCTATTTCGACTTGCTCTGCTTCTTAGTAGACTGAGTTCAGAAGTACTTACACTCGCAGTGGGCTTCTCCGTGAGACTGGAAAAGCCATTGCAATTTTGCGCGATCCAGATTTCCCATTGCAACGAAACTTGACTTGCCATGGCATGACGGTTTGCTTATCCCTTTGACCCATTCAACTTTACTGAGTGATGTCCTCAGCCACTATGAGAACTGTTATCTAGCTATCCAGTGGTTGTCTGACAATTCCAGTCTTCTGACTATCCACATTGGTGGATGAAACTGGGGTGCGACCGGTTTCCATGGGGAAAAAACAGATCACTGCTGCGAATTTCTGATCATACTTCTGAACCATGCGCTATGTTCGCCAACTATACTCTTTCTGCTACCTGCGTTTCGGCACCTTACCAGTATCCCGATTCACATGCAACCTTATATATCTTTTGGAACTCTTTCTGCACTCTATTGCAGCCGTTACACAGTTTCAGGATTGTCACTTTATCTGCTGCACCCATCAGGATGCATAAGCGAAGACATGTTGCTGCCCTTGCCTCCTTCCTTTTCCACTTGTTTCTGTTATATCCATCCAAACTTTTATCGCTAGCCTGCCTTTTATAATCAGCAGCGTACGTGGCAACAGCTGCAGAGCCACTGGTGCTCTTCTGTCTTAAACTGTATCCCACAGTATTGGCTGTCCTTCCAATTGCCCTTGTCAAGCCATGCTGGTTTGTTAATTTAGCGCCTTTTAATTGACAGCCTCGATGCCACTAGAGTCATACCATCTGCAGCTATCTTCCAGAATCACCCACTGGACGCCTATCGATTCAGCCACTTATAAGTCCACGTTCTCTTTTCGTTGGTGGTGTTGAACCTTAGCATTCTAAGACAAATAGGTCAACAAGCTGCACTCGCACGCACTTTAGACACCCTACGTATTAACGTGTGTTGCGTGTCTGAAGCGGTTACCGGTGGCCCTCATACGGTTGTCGAACTACTCGCCCTCAGTCTGTTCTCTAGCCAAACGTTTTACGCGTTTCGAGACACTGACGCAGTAACTACTGGTCAGTGTGGAGTGGGCATCGTTTTCAACCCCACGGCTGATCGATCACCAATTGTGTAACTTCCCCCAAGCAACCGTCTGTATGAAACTCGTTTGATAGCATTAACTTAGGTTGGCACGCGAATGCAACCCTTGACGCTGTTGTTTATGAACGCCTCATATGCCCCCACCTAAAACACTTTTGGTGCTGCTTAAGACCTCTTCTACGACGAAATTAGTGCACTGCTTTACAGGGCTACTAGTTCCGATATCGTTCTAGTTGCAGAGGATATGGCTTCACAAGTTGACCATTTCAACAACTTGGTGGAATGTTTGTGCTTACTTCCGACCCCACGAACAAGGCGGGTATTTATTGTAACTGTGCACCAGACATCAGGTGTCTTTTATCAACTCTTCTTTCAGACGTGCTGATATGCAGCATAGTGACCCCTGATGTTCCGAAATCGAACGGCTCGTCAAAATGTTCAGTTGATGTGACTTCGTCCCGGACTATTGCTCGTTTTGAAACATACGTCGGCTCCGATCATGCTCCATCAGTAACCATTGTTTTCTGCACTTTACTTAGAGGCCTATTGAGCATTTTCCTTGGTTAGTGTTTAAGGGGCTATCTCAGCTCTCGATCAGTAGAAATTACCAGTATGCCTTGTGCACCAAGTTTTCGTCTGCTTACCCTAAGTACATCGGGCTTCTGTGAATGACGATGAGGATGAGGATGCGGATGATGAATCTGATGGAAAACGTAATGCCTGAGTTTCTACAAACCATTTTGATGTGCTTGCGCCCAACGACAAACAGTTAGTCTCCACTGCTGGTATTGTCACAACAGTCCTATTCCTTGGCATCTTGTCACTCGTAGTCGGGTAGCATCTTCCCTCAGCAACTTCGTTAACTCATACAGTCACCCTAGCGACTTACTCGGAGTTCCATTACGATCAGTGTTGTATATTAGCTACTTTCCTCATCGATTAGTTTGTAACTATCCGATATCTACCGGATGCACTGTTTTCTAGCAATTCTTTGCCGCTTAAATTTTTACAACGGCCGTTTGTGATGCAAGGATTCTGAACCCTTAACCGTTCCCTGTTTCCCCGTATGCAGCCCTTCCTTTCCTTGCCTACACCAGTTCCCCGAGGCAATCGAAAGAAATCCCAGTCAAACGACATTGAAGAATGCCTGTAAGTTATCTTTTCGCTTCGTCTCTGCAGTGTTGTTTTTTGCGTCATATGATAGTCACTCAGAGACTGATATGCGATGGGGTTCTATCTACAACCTAAAATCACTAACTGTAGGTGAATGTACACATTAAAAGTATACGACATTTTGCGAAGGAGTCTGATGCCTCTTTGATTACTTGCATTTAGCATGCACCAAACCACCGGGGAACATGCTCATCCTCCAAGCCGTTTAACTATCCCAGATCCTAAGATTCCGAGTAAATCCCCTTAAGGGAATCCAAGATGGACTTTTCTACCTCCATTCGGCACATTGACAGTATTCCAGCTCGCCTACAGCAATTCTTCATCTCACTACAACATACTACGTTTGTCTTCACGTAGTTTCTAAAGGATGCCTGGTCGGCCACGTACAGCAGGACGGGTAAACGAAAATAGATCGCTACTGGTGTCCCCTTTTTTGACCTGGCCCTCGTATGAACCTCCTGGTTTTTACTACTAGCCATCTGCTTGTGATTCTCATAGTGGATGCTATCGACTGCAGCACCTGTGTTAAGGTTACTGGAATATCCTGCTATCTCATATTGTCAGACATCACCTTTCAAACTAATCCACCGGATCTTCTTGGATGTCTTCAACCCTCTTACCCTAGAATAGCTTGGAAAACAGATTGCGATTGTATATATACTGGACATCCTAAAACAACCACATCTCTGCCGAAACAAGAATCTACAACCCACGCGTCAGTGTCGAGCTAAATTCGCCTGGCCATCCTCCCATTATTGATTGCACGCGTCCTTAAGCGCCGGTGCTATAGCCATAGGTTGTGATTAAGTAGGTATTGCTCACACCCGACAGTCGAAGGGATGAGACATCCACCCTGTAACTTATATGTCACCTATTCGCATCTGCGTAGGTACGAACAACTGCGCAGTATTCATAACAAGCACGCGACGGGTGATGGTGCTCCCATGGCAACGAAGCGTCGGTACGATGTTTCGGCGTACTGCGAAATTACTTCTTCAGGCATTTGACCACCAGAGGTGATACAACTGCCAAGGCAAGTGAGCTGATCGATCTGTGCTAGTAGCTGTTCATTGCTAGCACGAACTGGTATTTGGTCGGACTAGTCCCGCAACTGTACTTTGCACTTCGAGTGTGCTACGCACACACATCAACCTATTACATAGTAAGCGTAGTATGAAAATATTAGTCATGAACTGTTAACCTTTCAGTTGCTCTTCTCATCACGCGCATAATACAATTAGGAATCAAACAGAACTGAGTATGTGGAACTCAAAGTGGAATCAAATGGTCAATCAAAACTAAGACAATCTACCAGATTGCTTCTGTACACACGACGCCGGGCGATGCTTCGAGATAAGTAAGGCCTCGGTGATGGCCAGTCTTTTTGAGTTGATTGGTTCTCGTGATGACGATTCACCACACTATCTGGTCCATGTTGCACTACATACAGGCTGACTGTCTGGATTTGAATGAGCGCTGCTTCGCTTCGTTTCGTCGATCAAATTTTCGCTATTTTTCTATTCTTTTCGCCATGTGAGGGCGCTGACATTGACCGAAGGGCATCGAATGACATACTGAATCTCGTGCTTTTCAGCACACCCACTGTGAGCACTTTCGTCTCTGCTTGTGGATTGGGTGTGAATCCTTGGAGAAATAGAAATCTATCGGTCATTGCCCCTATACGCTCCTCACCTTCGCTTCGATGGCAGGGCGCTTTGTCGTGTCTACAACGCTCTTGACCATCTGATTATGGGAGACTCTATTGTGCACTTCTTGCAGAACTCCCTTGACGTGGCCTATGTGGACGACGTATTGTTGTTCGTCACAACTGCTTCTGGGCAGCGAATATCTTAGAAAAATGCCGCAGTCTAGGCACAGTATCGGATGTTGTCCTGCCCATCTGCTGCAGGAGTCTATCACTATAAAAGGTTGCCGGATTGAGAAGTTCGTATATGCGCGGCTCCAAAGCCTCGTGTGTTTTCCTTATTTGTGTATCTCGAATTTTGTGGCGCTTTTGTACTGTAGTCTCAAGGATCACAAGCCTACCTTGAAATCCGATGGCGCGGGTTCGAGCATGCGTAAAGATTGGGTGACCCCGCAGTACCGTTAGCACATCTGCGACTGGTTGTGGTTTCGCGGCAGCGTACCGGCGTACTGCTAATACCCTTTTTGTACTGTTAGCGTATCTTTGATAACGTTTGCCTGATTACAGTAACCCATTTTTCTAGAAGGTGCAGTGTAAGTTGCTGTGGATAAATGCCTCCACCATCCACTCGGTCCCACTGTCTAGCACAAAACTACTGTGGCAAGCGGCTTCTCAGATGGGGTAGCAATTCAGAATATTATGCTACTTTTCACAATGGTGCGTGGATATCTCTTTTCGTACTGCTGCTTCAGTTCAGCTCACGAACCCGTCTCGGTTGACTGGTTAGGTTGAACTGCACGATTTTCGTTAGTAGTAAGATTATGTGGGTTTCAGCTCTTAAATTTGCTACAGTAGTTGCCAAGTCATGTTATACGTCATTCGTTGCAAAATTGAAGTCGGGCTGGATCTGTGAACGTGCTCTTTTTCTTGCTGGGCATAGCAGTACGTTCATTTGACTCATGGAAAACCGTCGATTGTTAGCGAGTCTGAACATCATGGTTCAAAAGAGTGAGTGTCAAACTTTGAAGACCGTTGAAAGTATGAACAGGAATGCCCTTTTTCGAACCAACTGAAGGCATTAATATATTGAAATCTCTCAGAAGTTTTAAGCGATGGTTATATAACATATTGTGAAACTTCTTCACTGCAAGAACTGTAACTAGTGCCTGCCAGATCTGGCTAGTCTTTTTCGGTTTTTGTCGGTCTTGACAGGTTGAACGACTGCTTACTGAGATACATCTGGGTACCTACTTGAGACTAATACATCGATACCGTTATCTGCTATATCCGTTACCGGAGTTCTCTCTCGAGTTGGTTTGATGTGAATACCAGATTTATACCAATAATGACTTGGATTATTCTGAAGTACCCTAATACTCTTGTGTCCAGTCCTATGTGTGTTCTTTGCTCGGTTGCCTGACCAAAGGCGGAGCATTCCCTGTAAAATTTGCTGTAATGACTGACACTTGTTACGGAGCATTTCGCGATGTATACTATTTATCAATAGCTCCCTCGAGCCGTTGGAACTGAACGAATCAAGCTTGGTAAAATACTTGTCTCAAATCGTTTGCGGTAAACACTCTTTGTCTTCACTTGCAGGTTTCAGACTAAGTTGAACAGTCGACACGGAACCCATCTTGTCTTTTTCCTTTTTCTGCGACGAATGCTACATCCATGAAGCGTTCACACTCTTGAAAACACCGACTCGTCCTAACCGATCGAGTTCTTACTGGACTATTGACATGATTGCACCACTTGGTTGTATTTTGGTCCTGAGGATTTTTCTGGCTTCTGGGTACAGGCGCTGCGTTGCTTCGAATTTGTACAATAACACGTTATTTTTCTTTATAACTACCGTGTCAGCCTTCGCTCAGCTCCCATGAAGGGGCTGGTTTCTCGTGGCATCTTACAGATCCGATCCACCGGAACATCAAAGTCCTACTATTTTGGTTCAGTCGCTTCCGCGAAAATTCAGCTTCTGGGGCATCTTACAATTTTCCCTACTTGATTAAGTGCGATTTTTGCAGGTAATTTTTCTGACTAAGTTTTTAGCTTCTTGCTGTAGGTTCATGTGAACTTAGATACTGTGTCTGTGTCGAAGGCAGATCCGAACGAATTCCGTTGATAAGCACGGTGACGATGGAGGGGGAACTCGATGTATTAGGCGATCATGACTGGCAGGCCGTGTACATCTGTAGTTTTACAACCAACTTAATAAATAATTAAGCGAATACCTCAACTGAATGACAAACGTTAACAACAGATAAGGGTACAATTCAAAGTCTAAAGTGGTCTAAGTGACCAAGATAAGATGATCACTGTGGGACCAATCATTTAGCTTGTTCACTCAGACCACCTTAGCATTTAAACTTGTACCATTAACTGTTGTTTACTTTTATGGTATCCATTGGTGGTGTATTAGATTGTTGATGAACCACGCAAACGAGGTTGTTCACTAACAATTCCTCCGAAATCTACTTCTGGGAAATTTTGCCAGTCAATAAATAATTAGTTTATTCTCGAAGTGCACGAGACGCGCCTGAACATGCATGGTTACTTAGTTACCTAATTCTCGAAGAACATAAAATATCGCATGAATGTTTATTGGTTGACCAGATATATTGATATTGATATGTTGATAAATGATAGTGATAAATTGTAGGTTCCCAGATTGTATGGGTTCGTTAAAACTTGCTTAGCTCAAGAATATGCCCATTCCGTCCTGCTTCGAATCGTCGGGAATCTAATACACGACGTCAGTGGGAGTGGAAGTGCATGATCAAGACTGCTTCGAAAACAAAACTGAATTACTTGCACTCAACTGCGCGGCGTAGCAGCAAGTTCATCGATTGGATTGGTGTCTTGATTACCATAAAATATACGGTGAAACAGAATCATCTGACTTTTCAGCTACATCGTCGCATCTTGTAGTAATGAGGCAAAATCTTGTCCAAATTGTACCCTGTCACAGACAGGGATGGGTGATCGTTCAGATGTGGCAGGATTGCGGTCATACGTATGCATGTGAAAGTTCCAGCTCGAGGAAATGAAAATGGCACGTTTTGATCCTCCGATTGTAGACTGAGGATCCTACAACTCATCATCGGCGGAAGTATGCTACTGATGGTGCCTCCTTTCTTTCTTTTCCACCTGTCTCATTCCTTTCCTTACCACCCGTTACTAACCTATAATTTCCATTTTATTTGGCATCATCTGCAACGCCACTGCAGTTCCATCTTCTGTTACTATCTTCCCGTACCACCCACTGGAAACCTATCGGTAACAGCTTATGAGGCCAAACTGGGCATTTTCATTAGCAGCGCTCAACGTTTGCACTCTAACGCAAATAGGTCAACAAGATTCACTCGCACGCACATTGGATACCATGGGTATTGACGTGTATTGTGTGTCCCGGTTTGTCTTTTCTCTATTGGTTGCACGCATCCGGAGACGCTGACCCGGCAACCACAGATTAAGCTGGAGTGGACATCGTTCGCTACTCTATAGCTGGGTCATCGTTGGTTCGTTGTTTGTATTTCTTTAAGCTGCGGTTTGTGTGCAGTTCGTTTGACTACATCGACTAATTGATTGACTCCTCGATTGATCCAGGAAGTAGCGCTAGACGCTGATTGTTTGCGATTTCAGACTTTGTCCTCACTGACTAGTTCTGATGCTGTGATGAACACCTACCACGAACTGAACACCCTACTACGCATTGTTACCAGTTCAGATGTCGCTGTTGTTACAGGGTATATGAATACGCAAATGCAACGTCTCATATCTTCAGAATCTCAGCTACGTGGTAAATATGGACTTAATTTCGACCGTACGGACAACGGTGAGCGTCTGTTGCAACAGTGCGGGGAGCACCGACTTTATCGGTAGCACTGTTTTTAGACACATTGGGTATCAAAGTGCCACGAGGCCTTCGCCTATAGCTAACCAGCGATTGACCTAAATATGTCACATTGCCATAAGGTACAGGTGGCGCAGTTCCATTCTGTATTACCGCTTGTTCTGGAATATCTATGTCGATACTGACCAAGCCTCGTTACGTTGTCGTTTTCCCATGGACTTTATTTTGAGAGGTACGAAGCGCCTCCTGCAACTGGCAGTTGAGAACTTAGCTCAGTCCTCTATCCGGCAAGCCTACCGGGATGCACTGCGTACCGGACTTTCGCCCTCTCATTTTAATGATACCGAGCCTCAGTGGAATAGAATCTCGGCCGCCATGCACCATGCAGGAGCCTCTCCTTGCGACACTCAATCGTCACCGCACCAGTCACTGGATATCCGAGAAGTCAGTGAACCTATCAGAATTCAGAAGAAAACTCCTTGCTCTCTTTGTGCGCAATGTAACCAGACGAGCTATAAGGCACGAACTAAAGCGGTCTGCATGATGACAAGGAAGTCTGGTGGGCCAGTAGGGCTCAAGCAATGGAAGAGGCGGGAGTAGTAGTCATTTATGGTAAGCTCTTCCAAATGCTGCACCACTGGTCCCAGGAAAACGGGCGTCAGTAAGACAATCAAAGAAGGCGCGGATACCATGATTCAAAGAAGAATGGTCGTACGGCTTGTTGGGCGGAGCACTTTCACGAGCAGTTCATTTTCCCCCTACTCCCAGACCACTTCCTACTCAGATGATGCAGGTTAAGCTATGAACAGTTAGTTTAGTGGATCCACCGGAGGTTGTGGTCAGAAACGCTATCAGTCTTCCATCGTTCTCGAGTTGCGGGCCCGGATTCGTTTGCATCCGCACTATTTAACGATGGCGGTGTGGTCCTCTGCAAACCACTGACCTTGTTGGAACAGGTCTAGAAGACAGAGGCCATCCCAGCTAACTGGAGTGGACCAATTATAGTGGCCATATAAAATAGTGGTGGTCGCACCGACAGTGCTAACCACAAGCGTATTAGCCTAACACCGGTGATGACAAAATTACTGGCCTGAATTCTCCTTCATCGACTCACTGCGGAGCGAGGATCACCTCTTATGGAAGAACAGGCAGGATTCTGCCCAAGATGTGGCTGTATAGACCATATATCCACTAGAGCAGCGCAACGCATACCGCAGACCGACATTAGCTGCGTTCCTGGACTACAAGAGTACGTTCGATTCAGTCAGTCGATCAGTTTTGTTCGAAATATTTGTCCCGAAAAGTCTTTTCATACAATATATGAACACTTTGCTTGCTTTGTACTTGAACACCTAAAGTCGCGTCAGGGTCTACGTTTACCCATGGGATATCATCCCAACAACAAGTGACGCTCGTCAGTGTTGTCCAATTTCCCCATTTTCATCCAACTTTTTCCGTGAACTCAGTCATGTGGTATTTCCCTGCGTGATCTCGCGATGCAAGCGTTGAGATGCTGCCTGGTGGAAAGCTAGTTGATCTTGATTATGCGGACGATTTTTTCTCTTGCTTTCTAACAATGTTGGGGCGGTTCAGTCAACCTTTATTAACCTAATTTTCTGGCCCCATCATTTGGCGTGCACTTCGCGGCTTCAAACTGATGTTGCAGTGCCACCAGCCACTTAATGATCTATGATTCTTTATAGCAAGAACTCGGGTTGCATCAAGAACGATGGGCGCGTAAGCACTGAAGTCAGTTCACCTATTGCTTAGGTTAAAACTTCCTTCTGGTATCTGCGGCACCTGTGGCGTCATAAGAAGTTTCCTTCTGTCTGAATGACCCTGTTTACATATTATTATTATTATTATTATTATACACGTTAGCTAGAGGTGGGAAACACCTCAGATACTGTGCCGCAATACAAAAAAGGGGAAAATGCAACAGGTGCAAGCCAGCTGAGCTACCGGTAACAGATGGGCATCGTTCCGGTAAGCTACCAGCTGGCTACTATGCAGCAAAAAATTACTATGCAAAATTATATATGACTAAATTGTGAGATCTTGGTGGGAGGGGGGAGGCTGAGAGGAATGGGGTGGGACAAAGAAACTCAAAACACGAACGCTACTGAGGTCGGCTCCTAGCCATATAAGCAAGTGTGTCCAACCAAACGTGTTCATCGTCTTTCGGACCCCAACCGCCGAGACGCTCCAACTAAGACCAGCTTCGAAGTGAGGGCCTTCATTCCTCTCGACCAAGTCATCGTTTGACCACCTCTCCTCTTCTTCCATCCACATCCCCGGTGAGCAAGCAACGCACGTCGAGGGAGTCGGTGAGTTGGCATGCGTAACATCTGGCCGAGCCATCGGAGCCTAGTGCGTGAAATAACGGTGCTGGGCGGTTTATTTCCTTTTCCTGTGCCGTAAACAAGACGTCGAACACGCTCGTTGCTTACTCGGTGTTCCCACCAGATGTGAGCTAAATTGCGAAGGCACCAATGGTCGAACATAACTAGCCTCTTTATGTCCGTTGATCTAATGGGCCAGGTTTCACAACCGTACAGTAGGGTCGAAGGTACCGCTGCATTGCCCACTTTACCGTTCAGAGCGAGCGTGATGTCGCGCGGGCGCCATGTGGCGAAGATTAGCAAAAGCACCTCGAGCTTTTACTATACGATTCATGATCTCATCTCACGGGCGCTGATACAAATTTCCAGGTAGAGATATTCGGTGTGGCTCTCTCCCATCCCTGCACTTTACGACCGACGGTTTCGTCTTTGTTTAGACTTGTCAGGTAGAGATAGCCGAGCTGGGATTGGAACTCGGCGGATAATGCTTGGCGGCTATCGCCATGATCACTAGGCGTTTGAGTTCCGCGACGCTTGGCTCTCATAACCCAGACGAGTCTTTCCGTATCCTCTTTCTGTGTTGATTTCGTCGAGGACGGTGTGTTTCTCCACTGTGGCATGGTTTCCTTTGTGCTTATGTCGCAACGAGACTGGATCTTAACGTGGTGCGACGGTTTGCGTACCTCATTGACCCATTGAGCTATACTGGGTGATGCCTCCGGGCACCTTGAGAGCTACTCCTACCAGGTTGGTCAATGGTGAGAGGTCAGACAAACTCAGTCTCCTGGTCCTCCAGGTTGGGGGTTTGAAATGGGATGGCGTCCATTTCAGTAAAACTGAATCATTGCCACCTCACCGCTGCCTTGCGGATAGGCTTTTGAGCCAAAGGCTTTGGATGAGGACCCTAATCGTCCTCCTGTCTAGGTTTGGGCGCCCTGGCTGTATCCCAGCCCACATACAACCATGACATTTTCTTTAAACATAAACTTCATCCTGCATCGGCCGTCGCGCAGATTATCAAGGGTCGCCTTATCTGCTGCATACAGAAGGGCGGATAAGCGAAAGCATGCCACTGCTGGCGCCTCCCTTCTTTCTTTTCCACCTTTTTCTCTTACTCCCATCCCGACCCCCATTACTAACCTTCCTTCTATAATTCCCAGCTTAATTGACAGCAACCGAAGTGCTACTGGAGTAGTACTGTCTGCAGCCACCATCCCACCGCACCTATCGGCAAAAGTCCCTTATAAGGCCACGCTGTCCCGTTTCCATGACGACATTCAACGTCCGCACTCTAAGACAAACAGGTCAGCAGGCTGCACTCGCACGCACCTTGGACACACTAGGTATTGATGTGTGTTATGTGTCCGAAACTAGGATCAATGACCCTAACGGGGTTGTTGAATTAGCTGCACCCGGCTTATCCTCTCGTTATTGGTTGCACGCATACGGAGATGCCGATGCGGCACTCACGGGTCAAGCTAGTGTAGGTATCATTCTAAGCTCCAAGACTGAGCCATCGTTGGTTGATTGGATTCCGGTGAACAGCCGTTTATGTGCAGCACGTTTGACAACATCAGCTAAGGTTGATTCACGAAGTAGTAAAAACGCTGTTTGTTCGTGATTTCCGTTTATGCTCCCACCGACTGCAGTTTAAATGCTGTCAAGGACACATTCTATCACGAACTAAATGCGCTATTACGCAGCGCTACAAGTTCAGATATTATAGTACTTGCAGGGGATATGAACGCACAATTAGGGCGTCTGAGCTCTTCAGAAGCTCAGCTAGGTGATAAATGTGGGCTTAACTCCGAACGGACTGACAACGGTGAGCATCTGCTGCAACTGTGTGCGGAGCACCAGTTGTTTCTTAGTAGCGCTGCTTTTAGACACAGTGGGCTCCGAAGTGCCACTTGGCGTCCACCTGTAGCTGGGGGGGGGGGGGTGGCGGGGGGCTGGTAAGGGGGGGGAGCTGGGGCTGGGGCTTGGGGGCTGGGGGGAGTAGGCAGGGAATGGGGGGGGGGGCCACTGGGGGGGCGAATGTGCAAAGGGTCTAATGGCTGAATTTTGTCTCTAAAGCTGGGGGAGCGCGTAAGGGGGAGCTGGGGGGGCTCTGGGGGGGCTCGGCTGGGCGGGGGAGCTTTGGGGGGGGGGGGGGGGGGAGGGGGGGCTGGGGTGGGGAGCTGGGGGCGGGCTGGGCGTGTAGGGGGGGGGGCAGCTGGGCGGTGGGGGGGGGGCTGGGGCTGGCGGGGGGGGGTGGGGATGGGGGGGCTGGCCCGGGGTGGAGGGGGGGGGCGCTGGAGGGGCTGGGGGCGGGGAGGGGGGCCGGGGCTGGGGCTGGGGCTGGGGGGGCGCTGGGGGGGGGGTAGCTGCTGGATGAGCTGGCCTGTAGCTGTGTGGGGGGCTGGGGGGGGATTAAAGAAATTTAGTTATGGAAAGTTTAAATAATGGGGGGGGGGTGGGGGGAGGGGGACTGGCGTGGGAGCTGGGGCTGGGGAGGCTGGGTGGCTGGGGGGGGCTGGGGTGGCTGGGGGAGCTGGGGGTGGCTGGGGAGCTGGTGGGGGGCTGGGGAGCTGGGGGAAGTGATAATTTTGTGAGCACATTTGTGGCTGGCGGAGGGGCAATACGGTTGTTTATAATTAATTAATTTTAGGGGGTCGTGGGGGGGGGCTGCGGGGCTGAGGGAGGGGGGGGGGGTAGCTGGGGGGGGGGAGGGGGGGGGGGAGCCGGGCTGGGGCCAGCCATGGACCCAAATTGATCACAGTTGCCATAAGTTACAGGTGGCGTGGTTCCATCCTGGATTGCCGCTCGTACTGGAGTACCTGCGTCGACTCTGATCATGCCTTGGTACGCTGTCGTTTCTCCATGAACTTTACCGGGAAGCGCACCAAGCGTCTCCTCCGATTGGCAACTGAGAAATTGTCTCAGTCCTCGGTCAGGCAAGCCTATCAAGACGCACTGCGTACCGAACTTCCGCTGTCTTGTCCTAATGACACTGAGCTTCAGTGGAATAGGATCTCGGCCGCCATGCACGACGCAGGAGCATCTGCTTGTGGCACTATCAGTCGTCACCGCACCAGTCACTGGATATCCGAGAGGTCGTTGAACCTGTTGGAATCTAGAAGACACCTCCCGGCTGGCTCTGAACACAATGTGACCAGACGGGCTATTAGGCGTGAACTAAAGCAGAGCCTGCGTGCTGACAAGGAAGCCTGGTGGACCAGTCGGGCTCAAGAAATGGAGGAGGCGGGAGCAGTAAGCAATTACCGCAAACTCTTCCAGCTAATCCGCACCATTTTTTTTTTTTTTTTTGGCGTCAGTGAGACAGTAAGAGACAGCGCCGGTGCGCCGATACACAATAAGTAGCGCCGTATGGCTCGTTGGGCGGAACATTTTCAAGATCAGTTCAGCTGGCCTCCTGCTCCCGGACCTCTTCCTACTCAGGTGATGCAGGACGAGCCATGGACGGTTAGTTTAGAGCCTCCGTCGGAGGCCGAGGTCCGAAACGCGATTACAGCCCTCAATCGTTTTCGTGCCGCTGGCCCGGATTCCCTCCCACCTGCACTATTTAAGGATGGAGGTGAGGTCCTCTGCAAAGCACTGACCTCCCTATTCGAACGTATCTGGAACGAAGAGAGTGTGCCGGCTAATTGGAGCGAATCGATTATAGTGGCAATATACAAGAAGGGCAGTCGCACAGACTGTGCGAACCACAGGGGTATTAGCCTAACGCCAGTTGTGACAAAATTACTGGCCTCGATTATCGTTCGTCGCCTCACTGCAGAACGGGAATCTCGGATTAGGGAAGAGCAGGCCGGTTTTCGCCCAGGACGTGGCTGTATAGACCATATATTTACTTTGCGGCAGGTGCTAGAGCAGCGCCACGCATACCGCAGACCGACAATAGCTGTGTTCCTCGATTTCAAGAGTGCGTTCGATTCAGTCGATCGATCGATTCTGTTCGAAATACTTGCGCGGAAAGGTGTTCCCACGAAATATGTGAACATCCTTCGTGCTCTATACTCGAACACTACAGGCCGCGTCAGGGTCTATGGTGTCCTATCGGATAGCTTTTCGACTACAAGTGGCGTTCGTCAGGGTTGTCCGATTTCCCCGTTTTTGTTCAATTTCGTCGTGGATTCTATCATGGAGTGTTCCCTTGCGGAATCTCACGATGTAGGCGTTGAAGTGCTGCCTGGTGAAAGGTTAGTTGATCTAGATTATGCGGACGATATCGTCTTGCTTTTCGACAATGTTGAGGCGGCACAATCAACCCTGAATAGCCTATCCAGAGTGGTCCCATTATTTGGTATGCACTTCGCACCTTCAAAGTGCAAAGTGTTGCTGCAGGACCACCAGCCACTTGATGACCCCTTGACGCTTGCTAACGAGGAACTCGAGGTGGTTGATCATTTCACTTATCTTGGCAGCTGCATCAGCAATGATGGGCGCATAGAAACTGACGTGAGCTCACGCATTGCAAAGGCCAGAGCTGCCTTCTTGAACCTGCGTCATCTTTGGCGACAGAAGGGAGTTTCCCTCCGTCTGAAAGGCCGTGTATACAAGGCCACAGTGAGGGCCGTTCTGCTCTATGGTAGTGAGACTTGGCCCCTTCGGTCTGAAGATCTGAGGCGCCTTCAAGTCTTTGATCATCGTTGTTTGCGAAG